AGGTGAATTTAGGATGGATCTTTGTAAAATGTGACAGACAAATGTGAAATCATCTCTGCCCTGCGCACATAATTTTCCGACCACTATTTAACTAAAGTACTGTCGGAAATAGAAAACAATCTGCTTTTTTCACATTTATATCTACAATTAATATGTGAAAGTGAAATATCTGTTGAAATAGGTTCGGCCTAACTACAGTCTCAGTGGTAGGGAAATAGGAAACGTTAAAATAGGATTTTACTGAGGAGAGATTAGTGCAGAAATGATCAATGCAAGTAGACATATTCAATACACATGAAAAAGCATAAAAGATATTTGAGATGACCCCTTGTGTCTGTGGGAAGCACGTGCATTTCATGTCAAGTGTGTTGACGGTCCGTCGTCATACCAGGCTGAGCGACCTAAAGTCTGATCTATGGTTTTCAGCAGCTGTTCGTATTTTTTTCTAAGTTTTGCCCGATTTTACGAGTAAACATGCTTTTCTGGATATCCTATTACGCATCCCACTGAACGCCCAGTTAAGCCGATGTGGGTTATTTCGACATATGCTACTTGCAATTGTGTAATTTTTAGGGATACAGAGTAACAGCCTAAAAACATTTTTTTTCTATTTCCGACAGTACTTTGTCTAATGACATCACATTTATCAACTTATGTATGGTTCCACAATGCACAATCCCATAGGCCGCCATGCTAAAGGAGTTCACGGCACTGTACATATGTCCATAAAATTGTTTCCATTCGATAAATAAGCAACGGAAAATTAAACAGAAATGTGATTGTAGGTAAAATGATTCCTCACAAATGTGCCAAATGTGACTTGGACTTCACGAAAATTAAATTCATGAAAATTATTTAAGCTACACTAAATTAACATGCAAGTTTATGGAAATTACGTCAAGTGCCCGAATATAACTTGTACGGGTCTAGTCTTGCCAAACTAGTGTCAAGCGGGCTTTCTGTCGCCGACACCATGCCTTAAATGTTTATGACAAGTTTGTCGATTAATTCATCATTGTATACGGGAATTGATAGTTTGTGTATGAAATTGTACCAGTTTCACAGTTAACTTAAATGTTTAATGTGCCATGTCCAAAACCCTATTGAAAACCCTGTCGCAGCTTTACTACCAAAACAATTGAAACGAGACACCGACAGTCACCAGATCATCTGATTCACCAACCCACACACAGCTGGAATACTGCCGAGTGCGTAAACAAACTTTGAAAAATTAAGTTTAACGAAGCTTTCAGTAGTACGTTGCTAGTAGGGCGCTGGCATCATGTCCCTTTTAATGACCGAAAGTGTTTGATGTGTAACTCCCGTGAAGTGTTGATGAGTACCACTGTATTTTTAGTGTAATTCTTTTAGAGTGAGTGAGTATGGTTTTACGTCGCTTTTAGCAATATTCCAGCAATATCATTTCTTTGTATACCAGAAATGGGCTTCACACATTGTACCCATGTGGGGAATCGAACCCGGTCTTCGTCGTGACGAGTGAACGCTTTAACCACTAGGCTACCCCACTGCCCCCTGTATTAGAAGATAAAACTAAGTTATTACCAAAGTATTGTTGTACAAAGAATAATTATTTTATATTGCAGAGTCTTTATGGAAAGAAATTGCACAATTATTGATAAGCTAAGTAAATATATTACATGTATTTATGAAAATCTTTCAAAACTTCAATGATATTGCCTCGTTGTATAACATTATTCATGTATGAATGTCCTATGTACCACTGTGGGTGGTTTCGGCGAATAAGTGAACTGAACTAAAGCACTGTCGGAAATAGAAAAAAAACCAAACTGTTTTTATGCTGTGACTCTGTATCACTAAAATTGACAAATTTACAAATAGCATATGTCAAAATAACCCACATCGGCCCAACTGGGCATTCAGTGGGATGCGTAATAGGATATCCAGAAAAGCATGTTTACTCGTAAATTCGAGCAAAACTTAGAAACAATTCCCAATAGCTGCTCAAAACAATAGATCGGACTATAGATGGCAATTAGGTCGCTCGGCCAGGTATGACGACGGACCGTCGACTCACCTGGCATGAAATGCACGTCCTGCCTACAAGCACAAGGGGTCATCTCAAAGATATTTTATGCTTTTTCATGTGTGTTGAATATGTCTCATTTATTGATCATAAAGTTTATGTTGAGATACGTAAAACGGTATGATACCCGTGGAAGCCATCGTATTAAATGTCTCAAAATATATAGGTGGCATGACCACCCGAAGATCGACAGGACTGGATGTTATTTGTAAATTGTTATGACATGCCGTTTGCTTCCCAGTTTAATTCCCCTAAAGGATTATCTTATCTTAGCTTATATCTCTATCCCCCAGCCCGACACCAACCACCGTCTATGACACCCGTCCTAGATTTGCTTTTGAGACGACCCCTCCTACCCGTTTCTTTTTACAGTGATAGTGAGACTCCATGGCAGCTTCATCCTTAATAGTTTCAGTATTAAAGTTATTATTTTTACGTCAGCTATCGTTTATAATGCAGCTAAGTTTCATTTCAAAATGGACATTTAAAAATTGTCCTTTATAATATAATATCATCGCACACTAATTTGCATAAAGCCATGGTCTGTTCCAAATAAGTCGCTTTGGACTTAGAAAAAAACCGCATTGCTCATTTCTGCACTAATCTCTCCTCAGTAAAGTCCTTTTTCTACGTTTCCTATCTCCCTCCCACTGAGACTAGTTAGGCCGAACTAGGTTTAACAGATATTTCACACTTTCACATTAACTACATAAATTGCAGATATCAATGCGAAAAAGGTTTTTTCTATTTCCGACAGTACTTTAGTCAGGGATGAGAACCAAGCTTGTAGTAATCCTGCTATATTATGAAGCACATGCTGTTGAGTTTGGGTACTGCTTGATAGGCCGAGTAGCCATCAATGCTATTCGAGCATGGTCTGTGAAATGGGTAGTCTGTCTCACAGTCCCTGAACCACATTAATTTCCCTACTGCCAAGCCCTCTCTGCAGTGCTAAAGCCCTAAATAAAGCAAGTCTAGATTTCCTCAGGAAAACTAACTCACTTTGGGGGTCGGATTACAAAGTAAACATATCTAACTACCATGGCTGGCCGGACCAACATCCTCACCAGTGGTCTGGAATATTGCCTCTCACATTTTCATCTGTCAACTCTTAATTAACAAGCAGATTGGGCAACATGAAGCTATAGTGGAGGCCTTGTGCACAGTCTCTGGTCTTGAAGAGAAATCACGCAAAATCTTGGGGAAAGGTTCCTCCTGAATGTTATGTTGTAAAAAGTATTGTTTCATTGTCTGACTTGGGTCCACACATAGCAGCCCAATTGTAAATGCGGTTAAGGATTTAATTGTAATTGAAACAAGGGTTATTTTTCTTATTCCTGATATAAGATTATTGTGTGAAACTCTGGTGTGTTTTGAGTATCTCTTTATCTAATTGCTCAACAGTAAAACATATGGCAGGGACCTAGCACTCATGAATAGTGAGTTTGAGTTTACACCGCATTCAGTAATATTTCATATATGGCAGCGGTCTGTAAATAAGTCGTCTGGACCAGACAATCCAGTGGTCAACAGCATGAGCATCTACTCAATTGGGATACGATGACATGTGTCAACAAGTCAGCAAGCCTGACCACCCGACCCCGTTAGTCGCCTTCTCGTGAAGAAGCAAATTCAAAAGGCACAGCATCTCGGAATCAAATCTGTTACCTTCGTGATGTGATTGAGGCATGCAAGGTGAAATCTAGTGGGGATGACCTAGCATCTAGAAATACCCAGAACATCTTCAAGCGTAAGACAGACTCTGGCCTTTTCACTTCCATTGAACAGTTTGTTTAAAAAAAGGTGGTTATCTATATCCTCTTCGCATATTATACAAATGGAAACTTTTGAATTTGGAGATAAGTTCAAATTCATAAATAATTTTGTTGGTGTTCCACCCAGATCTTGCACCTTGGTCATCTAGTGTCCAAGTGACATTGTGGGCTGCAAGTTTCCCCAACAGTAGAATGTTATGCAGTAGGGGCACTTGCCCGGCCCACATGAGGTGATGACAGCATGGAGAGAGGACAGGGCTTAATAAAGGGCCAATAAATATGCCTTTCACTTATAGCGTTATCTGATGGTTGTATGATGTGACTTCTACTTGGTAATGACCCCAGCACGTGTAGCCCCAATACAAATGTTCTTAGTCTCTGAATCTCTGGTCTCCCTAGGGCTCCTTTTCAATATAAATGGGCTTGTTTGTTACTATCAAAATTATATATATTCAGAGACTAAGCCTTAGTCTATGAAATGGGGTGCAACGTCGCGTGAAGGATTGTTGCAAAACACACAGCCGTGCGATACTATAGGGCATTGACGGAAAGATTCTCCGTATCAGACCCCAAGGCGAGCTGTCATTGCTCCATTTTCTAAACGCAGAGAACCGGGCAGGGTTATTACAAGTAAAATCTTGACCCTGGCGTTGGAACCACTGATATTGTTTTCCGTTAAGATGCAGCCCCCCACACCACCAGGCTCGACCGGAACACGGGATCTCAGACAAGAGCTGCCTTGCGATACTGTATAGAGACGTTCAAATTGTTCAGCTTACAACTGTACCCAGATGTGGCGATTAATTTCTGCAATTAAAGAAGTGAGTGCAGTTTTACGCCGCTTTTTGCAATATTCCAGCAACATCATGGCGAGGGACACCAGAAATGGGCATCACACATTGTACCCATGTGGGGAATAGAACCAAGGTCTTCGGCGTGACAAGCGAACGCTTTAACCATTAGGCCACTCCACACATGCGTTCGAGGTACCACGAAATTGTCCTGTTTATTTCTGGTTGTGAATTGCTGAACGCCGCACCTGAAACCGTGGTGCTAATTACGGTGGCCAATATTTCTGCTAGTCTCGTTCAGAACTAGGAAAATGACTGCCATCCTTTGTTATTTTGGTTTAACCATGGCAGATAAACAATAACACTTGATGTGAAACCCAAACTTTATTTCGACAACGATCACACTTCACTATGGCTGGAGGTGGAATGTCTTCTACCTCCGCTGCAGGACATAACTGTAAATGGTCTCTCGGTGTCCAGATGTGCAAGGCTGTTCAGGTTATTCTGAGAATCGCAAGAGCACATACATCCCGCATCGCAATGTCTGCAGGGCTTCTCTGGATCGACATTCCAACTGCAACCGCATGGCCTCCTGGATAAGACCTTGACCTTCGTTGCCAACTTGTAACCTCTCGAAATATTCCGCCTTGCGCATGCGCATACAACTCCTACGACTGACATCAGAACAGATAGTGCCATCATGATGACTACTGGCGTCCAAATGTACACCCTGGCCACCCAGGCATGTTGAACGGACGTCCGTCTCCAAACAAGTCGGTCAGGTTTCCGGTTGTCGATCGTTACTTCAGAATATAAACCAGAAGAGGCCGGAATGAATCGCTTGTCTGGAAATGAAGTATAAGGGGCCGTTCATAATTTATAGCTTGGGGGTGTGTGTGTGTGTGTGTGTGATGATTTTTATGGAGAAGCATCTAGTACATGTGTACAAAATTGATGACAAACACACAGACATGAGTACTAATATTTATGATTACTTTAATAGTATAATCAGCTGGCCACCCCAGAACAAAATTGGTGAACCCGGCCTTCCGAGTGACGAGCGAACGCTTTCACCACGTGGCTATTTTTGCTCCCCCACCGACCCAGGAATACCAAGAATCCCACCTACCGGACAAAGTGAGTCTGGTGGATTTCCGTCTTCTTCCATTGTTCCCATGTGGGAATCGAACAGCGCACGAGTCCTGGTAAATGACAAGGATTTATTTGTCAAGATCCAGCACCCGTTGATAATCATACTGTCACATTATCCAGGACACGCCAGCAACTTATGGTCACGTTCAGAGCAGTGAAACAAATTCAGTGTTTTAATTTCTTAACAAAAAGATACTCAAAATGTAAAATAATTACTTGTTGCATATTGTTGTCAGTACTAGTTATTGACCAGATTTGTGTTTTAGAGTGTAGCCCCACTAGTGAGAGTCATCTCTGCAGCTGAAAATCATGCTGATTATCGCGTTAAACAGAATGGGAAAACTATCTGCCTGTGAGATTTCTGGTATATCAACAGTTGACCTGTGTAGTTATACGAACGCATGAACTATTACATGTTTTAAGACAAAGTAAATCGAACTCTTCGTATCGAAGTGAGGGATTTGATTTAAGAAATCGAACCGGGTCTCGGTCATGACGACCGACCGCTTCACTCACTGATGATGAAAGGACAAGAATGGCCGCCTCGCAATACCAGGAATCAAACCAGATCTTCACTTTAACGAACAAGCAACACGGCACTCCAACCCACCTTTGAACAAAATTGACAAAACGATAAAAAGAATGTTGAAATACAATAAGGTGACTCACCCCGTTACAGCTTCTGGCACACATAGTGAAGTTGCACTGAAACCGAATGGGTTCCTTGTGGGGGAAGGCGAAGGCGTTGAAGTAAGGGCTGTAGCAGGTCAGGCCTTTGGTGGTGAAACCCTTGTTCTTTTTAATGAACCACCCGTCACCGCACCTGGAGGGCAAGGTGGATATGGGCAACAAGAATTGATAAATACAAATGAAAACACGTCAATCGTAGCGCTTGTACATGACGTCAGGATAACGCATAAAAAAGTAACAAATGTCGCGCCTGGCCTTGCAATTCACACGGTCACAATGTCAGATATTAATTTCCACGGACGTCAGGTGCAGCATTCAGAAAACAGTTCCAAATCAAGGAAAATTCTGCGCTTCCTGGTTATATTTTCAGGTAACCTCTAACTCCAAGGTCAGTGGGGTTGCCCCGAGATCACCACACCCATATCTACCTCCGGACCCGATCACACACCTAACCACCGGACCCAGACAAACTTCTAGTCGTGCCACCTAACCCCCCCCCCCATCCGATCACATCCAGCCGTGCCACCTAACACCCCCATCCGATCACATCCAGCCGTGCCACCTACACCCCCACCCGATCACATCCAGCCGTGCCACCTACCCCCACCCGATCACATCCAGCCGTGCCACCTACCCCCATCCGATCACGTCCAGCCGTGCCACCTACCCCCATCCGATCACGTCCAGCCGTGCCACCTACCCCCCACCCGATCACGTCCAGCCGTGCCACCTACCCCCACCCGATCACATCCAGCCGTGCCACCTACCCCCATCCGATCACATCCAGCCGTGCCACCTACCCCCATCCGATCACATCCAGCCGTGCCACCTACCCCCATCCGATCACATCCAGCCGTGCCACCTACCCCCAACCCGATCACATCCAGCCGTGCCACCTACCTACCCCACACACACACCTACCCGATCACATCCAGCCGTGCAACCTCACATCCCCCCACCCCATATCCGATCACATCCAGCCGTGCCACCTACCCCCACACCCGATCACATCCAGCCGTGCCACCTACCCCCCCCACCCGATCACATCCAGCCTGCCACTTACCCCGATCTGATCAAGGGTAACCTAGCTCCGGTCTTTATCCCGATGGCGTCACAAGAGACAGGTCGCAGACCTCGTTCGTTGGGAGCAGTACCTGCAATGTCCGGTAATGAATGAGCGAGTTGGTGTGCAACTAATTAATCTGCAACAGGTTAGGTTGCAACCGCTAGGTTGCAATGACCTGAAAACACCAAAGACTGGAACATGAAAGATCCATAGAGATCGAGGTGAAGGGTCAAAACGAGGTTTAATGAAGCTTTCGAGACTGTATTTGAAGTATCGCAAGTAAAGTGTGAGCGACTAATTATTTATGTCTGCTTCACGCCCTCAAAACATGTATACCGAGTCAAACTGACTGCCCTGGCCAGTTATTACCAGTTAATGCCAACCTTAGCCATGTTCACAAGTAGCACACGTAACGTCTACTAGTATGACACGGTCAGATGTCATTTTAAGGATTTGACAATCTTTGACAGCTCAACAAGAAGCCAATGTCGCGGTAAGATCTGTACCATGGGGAGAGAACTCGCTAGCAAAATGGGGAGACAACTCACCTGTAGCCGAGGCCTTGAGCTGCACCTTGCGTCCTACAGCCAGCCGCTGACCATGCATGTCTCGCCCCAAGACGTCTACCAGCAGCAGCCGAATGGTGGCCTTGGTGTTCTTCCCTTTCCATGACTGCACAGCCTTTGGTGCCATCCGGCTGAAAATATCCAAGTCAGATTGAAACAACTACTCTCCTGCCATCAGATCACGGGTGTCCTGTACGGGAACCAAAGATGCTAAACAGTGTCAGAGCCTAAAGAAAGGCATACAACTGAATCAAAAGACGCAAACTGCATGAGCTATGTAATCTATATATGTTACATCATCATATATATATATATATATATATTTCAGCAGCAAAAAAAAAACGTCAGTAGGAATTCAAAATTAGATAGGCACTGAATCAAATCATTACAGAAATAGACATAAGCGGATCAAAAACATTTTGTGTACATCTTGACACATCAAGGAATAACTCGGCACAATTTCAAGACATTATGTGAACGATTGCAGTCAAGACTCTTGACTTCAGTATGTAGTGTGACCACCACGAGCGGCAACAACTGCAGCACAGCGTCTATGCATGGAGTGCACCGATCGATTGATGAAGGCCATTGGCACCTTGAACCACACTCTGAGAAAGGCCTGGCGCAATAAATCGGCTGTGTTCGGCCTTGGTATGACATTATTCAGTCTCCTCTGAATTTCATCCCAAAGATGTTCAATTGGGTTTAAATCAGGACCAAGGGCCGGCCACTGCATAATGTTGACACCGTTCTGCTGTAGGAAGTCCCGTGTAGCTCTGGCAGTATGGGCCCGGGCGTTATCATGCTGGAAAATGTTCCAGTGACGTGCGAAATGTGGTATGACGTGGGGTCTGAGAGCTTGGTCGATGTAGCGCACCGCTGTGATGCCGCCTCTCCCTGGACCAAGGTTCTGGAACACCACAGAACCCACTCTGGTTCAGGCCTGTTCCACCCCATACCATGATGCTTGCACCTCCCCACAAGTTTCTTTCCATAACACATTGGTCTGAGTAACGCTGGCCACGTCGTCGCCATATTCTTGTTCTGCCATCTGCAGTTGATACGCAGTGCCGACTCTCATCTGTGAACAGAACAGTTCTCCATTGCCTGTATCGCCAGTTTTGGTGTTTTAGGGCAAACTGTTGACGTTCTCGCCGATGACGAGGGGTGAGGCTAGGTCCACGGCAAGGCCTACGGCAATGGAGGTTCCCGCCGTTAGACGTCGGCGTACTGTATCAGTACTGATTGGTCTTCCGTGTGGTCCCACTGTCTGGCGTGCTGTTTCGGATGCCTGCATGAAGGGATTCTGTACATGCTGTCGCACAACATGGCGGTCTTGTCACCCTTAGTCTGCCAGTACGGGGGTGATCATTTGTGGTGTTGGTGGCTCGGAAACGTTGCTGCAGCCTGTAGATGGTCCAAACGTTGACCTGGAAGTGATTGTCAACGTCTTGTGCAGTGTGGCCAGCTTCAAGTCTTCCTAGTCCCTGGTTCTTCTGAACTGTCGTGAGACGAGGCATCTTGCTGACATTGTAATGTGAATGTTTCAACCAGGTTTTAGGTGCATTTTATGGGGCTGGTCCTTGTGAACAGCACGTGCAGCATGAGTTGCATGAAAGACATGGAGAACACCGTACCATCTCCGGGATCAGGTTGCGTTTTTGAGACCATTTCCTGGGTTCCATTCTGAGTTTGGGAAGGAATGTCTTTGATCAGGTAAAGTTGGAGATGTCAAAAATATACAATCAAAACATTAAATGAGTTTACAGTTATCCGTTTCTGCGAAGGAAAATTCCAAACTGACGTTTCTTTTGCTGCTTAGTATATTAACAAAACATGGAATGTTCCTTGTTCTTGAACTTCAGACTGAGTCTGGCTTTAAAGAATGACATTCCATAAGAAATCAAGCCTGTAAATATGTATTACAATACTGGCGACATTTGGCGTTAGTACCGCCATTGAAGGAATGTGACAATACGGGAACAACTGTTTTGAGGTAAGTGAACAGTCAGTGCAGAGAACATAAAATGCACGCGTACCCAAAGTCTCCGGACAGGCGTACAAAGCGCAAGTGTCCCATTCGAAGACATTACAATTGGCTGTTCCGATCGTAGGTTTTACCACAGTGTTGAACCTGCACGTCCAACTCCTCCGTTATACTGTTGGTTGATTGTTTAACGCCGCCTCTCAGCAATATTCCAGCTATATGGCGGCGGTCTGTAAATAAGAGCCTGGACAATCCACTGACCAACAGCATGAGCATAAACCTACGCAATTGGGATACGATGACATGTCAACCAAGTAAGCGAGCCTGACCACCCGATCCCGTTAGTCGCCTCTTAAAAGGATGGGTTGGGACCGCCTCCGTGGTGTAGTGGTTAGAGCGTCCGCCCGGAGAGCGGAAGGTCGCGGGTTCGATCCCCGACCGCGTCATACCAAAAGACGTTAAAATATGGTACTTGTTGGTCCCTGCCTGGCGCTCGGCATTAATGGGTACAACAAGGACTGGTCGGCTCGGAGTCAGTATAATGTGTCTGAGTGGGGTATTCATGCTTCACTGCAGCATGGTATCTCAGTGGGCTAGCAGTATAAAACCAGCTTCAGTCTGGGCTAGTACAAGCAGCCGCACCTACATATACACACGCATGCACGTCGTCATATGAGCGAAATATTCTCCAGCGCGACGTAAACCCCAATTTCACCTCACCTCACCTCAAGGGTGGGTTACTGAAGGCCAATTCAAACCGGGACCTAAAGGCTACTCAGTTATACCGATGCCCCTAGCAGAATGAAGAATGCTTTTCGCAGCATGAATAATTTTCTAGCTATTCGCGGCGACCTGATACACCTTGAATACGGCTTTAAACCTCATTTATGGACGTGCATATGGTGGAGAAAGGGGGGCTAGGGGATATATTTGCATCGGGAACTGTGCCACAAAGTACCACCCCTGCTGACTGGCACGAGTCACTTCCTTCGTAAGTCGTGAGACCAAGATTACGACAGGAACAAAACATTGTACTTTCAAAAGCGTGTTGACCAATCGCCGGTTCCTACCTAGCTCCGATGTTCAGCTGTTTCGTCAGCTGCTTATTCTTGGCGTCGAACGTACACGTGACGGTATACTCCTCTTGGCTGTGGTGTACGGCAGTGCCCGGGGGTCCGTATGATACGTACACCTTCAAGACGTACACACGAGCACCTTTCCGTTTCTGAGTGCAGAAGGTTAAAATGTTAACATGTGACAATACCACCACTCTCCAAAGGTATGCTGCTACCGACCAATCTGAGACACTACATATCAGTCATCTGTTGAAAATTACGGTGCCCAATTTTAAAACGTACATTATATCAAGTATCGAAATTTTGAGAATCAATTCAGTAATGTCAATTCACAAAGGCTTTGTGGTAGCATTTAATACATTTGCGATAGCCGAACAATTTTTCCAGGGAGCGTACATTTCTTTAACAGCACGTAATGTTTTGTTCAGTGACAAATGTTAAGTGAAATATAAAAAATGTTCGCGATATACACTACTCCATTTAATGACATCCATTGTGTCGTCATTCTCGTTAACCTTATGGTTTGCGAGTATTGCAACAGTCGTGAAATTATCATTGCTGGATTGGATCCACGTGGCAGATATTGGTGAACTTATATATTGCTTATTTTCATGAACCAAGTAGCGAGACGATCATAAGATAATTGAACGAGAGTTCGGTTTTACAATATCCCAGCTATATCACGATGGAGACTAGAAATGGGCTTCACACATGAAGTATCTAGGTGGTGAATCCAGCCCGGGTCTTCGGAGTGACGAGCGAACACTTTACTAATCTACTCCGCCGCCTTACAAGATAAGTAAAGACATTTAAAGTAGGTATTGTATATACTAAAGGAAACGTGATATGAAATTCATTTCTTGATATCACAAATTCGATTTTTCACGTCCATGAAACAGGTATTGTCAACGTCTCCCAGTACCTGGAACATGCAGGGATGAGCGCCGCGACCGGGGTATCCAACCGTCAACTTGTAGTTGACTCCGTCAGTCGAGGTGAAGTTCTCGCGGGTCTTGGCACAGGCAGCAATGGCCGCTATGTCTAAATCTGTTACTATGGAGATTTCGGCACCTTTGACATTTTCCTTTCCGCAGTTGGAAGTCACTGGATAAGAGACATTTCTAACTCACAAACGAACAAACGAGGCTTGAACATGGCGCCCAGGCATGGAAAGCTCATTTAACAAAGAAAATGCTGTAAGCGGTGAACAGCCAAGGCAATATCAGGAAGGGGAAAACAGGAATGGTCTGTACTCAACGAAAAATACCGAAACCGGGTCTTTGGCCTAACGAGCAAGCACTTTAGCACTAGCCTCCCCTTCAACAGAAACCAGCTGGTGAGAAGAAAATGGGGACTAATGATCGCCACCAAGGACAAATGCTCTGAAAATACCTCCCTGTAATGTTTGGTCCATTGCATAACATACAACAGATCATACCAGTGTCAGTTGATTGTTTATGGAAAGCTCTGGTTTAAATCAAAGGTTCATGTCAAATGTTCATACACTGAAGCTCGGGAAAACGCATATCTGTTTTTTTTTATATTTGACAAAATGGTCACAAAATATCACATTCGTCTGCTCTGTCTATTTAGGTGTGAGAAACGATGTCATTTTGTCATTTGATCTCCCATGAGCAAATATTCACAGCTGAAATCGTTTTGATGCCCGAGTTAAAGTTGGTTGCGTTTTCAGTGTGCCTCAGTATATAAATATTTGCAAGTGAAAACCTCAATAAATTTGCTGTTGAGTATATTAATTTATTGAAATAGTGTAAAATTGATCGATTAGGTTTACTGTACCCATATACGGAATCGAACGCGAACCTAAGCTTCAGGAGTATTTTCAACTTAACACTTTCTTAGCACGGTGAAGACGGGTTGAATACTTACATCTCAAAATGTAGCCGGGAGGTATAGCAGCCCAGACACTCTGCAAACAAGATATATTCAGCTAACAGCTTCATAAACATTTCCATATAGACAGATGATTAAGATATTACTAAAGTACTGTCTAAAAATGTTTTTCACATATATATCTACAATTTATGAAGTTAAAATGTGAAAGTGTGAAATATCTGAAACTAAGTTCGGCCTAACTACAGTCTCAGTGGTAGGGAGATAGGAAACGTAAAAAAGGACTTTACTGAGGAGAGATTAGTGCAGAAATGAGCAATGCGGGTTTTTCAAAGTCCAAAACGATTTATTTGGAACAGGCCATGGCTTTATGCAAAATAGTGTGCGACGATATTGTATAACAAATGACACTTTAAATGCCCAATTTGAAATTAGACGTAGTTTCATTATAAACGTGTAGAGATATCAGCTACGATAAGAATCCTTTAGGGAATTAAACTGGGGGAAGTAAACGGCATGTCTTAAAAATTTACAAATAATATCCAGTCCTGTCGATCTGGGGGTGGTCTTGCCACCTATATATTTTGAGACATTTAATACGATGGCTGATTTAAGCTTTTCTATGGGTATCATTCTTTTACAGATCTCAACATAAACGTTATGAAAGTCACGTAAGATGTTAATCAATAGACGAGACATTCAATACACATGGAAAAAGCATAAAATATCTTTGAGATGACCCCTTGTGCCTGTAGGCAGGACGTGCATTTCATGCCAGGTGAGTCGACGGTCCATCGTCATACCTGGCTGAGCGACCTAATTGCCATCTATAGTCTGATCTATTGTTTTCAGCAGCTATTCGTATTTTTTTTCTAAGTTTTGCCCTATTTTACGAGTAAACATGCACTTCTTGATGTCCTATTACGCATCCCACTGAACGCCCCAGTTATGCCGATGTGGGTTATTTCAACATATACTACTTGCAGTTGTGTAAATTTTAAGGATACAGAGTAACAGCCTATAGACAGTACTTTAGTTTTCAGTGTAACAGGACTGGACAAGAGAACGGAGTTAACGTATCAGCAATGCAATGCGCCAAAACGCACCCAAGGCCGAAAACAGAATTTCACGTGCAGAAGAATGTTATACGTGCTACGTGTATGTTTTTGTGTTAGTTGTGCATTGTAACGTCAGGGGCGGATGCAGCGTTTTTAGAAGGGTGGGTGGGGTGCACACTTCATTTTCATCCCCCTCTTCTGGATCCGCCTATGAATGTGCTGTTTCATCCCAATACGGGAATTCACAATTGAAAAGTTGTATTAAAAAAACTTAGTTATTAGAAACAGATGTTCTCATAAAAGTGGACTTAACCTAGAAGTATTGAATCAGTAAAATGCATAGTTTGATGAGCCACATTAAAAGTGTAACTTGTTTCAATAGAGTTTTGTTATATGGGGTTATCTGCACTCCATGACAGTCTGCTCGGAACCAGTCTTGAAGCCGTGTAATGATTCTTCCCGTCGGCGCCATGACCCTAAATGAGACAGTCACAATATGATGGCCGATTTCCATTTGTCGTCCATTACGTCACGCTTTGACACAGGCAACCCCCTTCAGAACGGGAATTTCTCGCGGCGTCCAATGACGCACCAGCGCTGAAGTAATAGGTCTTCATGCCCGTGAGCATTTCCGACCAATGTTCCTTAACTGATCTCTGTATGAAACGCCAAACGAAAATAACCTCAAACGATATTTTCCATCGATCCATATGAGGTGAGGTGAAATTGGGTTTAACGTCGTGCTTGAGAATATTTCGCTCATATGACGACGTGTATGTGTATGTGCGGCTGCTTGTACTAGCCCAGACTGAAGCTGGTTTTATAGTGCTAGCCCACTGAGATACCATGCCGCAATGAAGCATGAATACCCCACTCAGACACATTATACTGACTCCGAGTCGACCAGTCCTTGTTGTACCCATTAATGCCGAGCGCCAGGCAGGGACCAACGAGTACCATATTTTAACGTCTTTTTTTGTATGACGCGGTCGGGGATCGAACCCGCGACCTTCCGCTCTCCGGGCGGACGCTCTTACCACTACACCACGGAGGCGGTCGATCCATATGAACAAATACGGTCATCAATGAACGACTGGAAAATGGAAATGCAGAATTCGTGTCACGAAAAGCAGACTTGTCCAATTCCAAACATCTCACGAGTTTGGAACGTTGTATTTGTACAGGTATTCAAGTCAAGTACATGTTTGCTGTTGGAATGTGCACTTTTTACCAATTTTTCAGTCTAGAATAAAACAATTAGATAACATGTTTGCAATCATCTCGAGGTCAATATCGTCCAGACACTAATTCCCCTTTCTCACTAAACTTGAGCACAAGTAGAAATATTGTTGTTCTTTTTGAAAATGTATCTTACTTGATAAATGTTACAAAGTTGGAGCAGTTTCGTTCAATGCTGAGGTGTGTAATTAAGTTTTTTTTTGGCCCGTCCTAAGATTTCAGATCAAAACAGTTATTTTAAGGCAATTATAAATCACATTTAGGCGCAAGTCAGATTATCTTCAGAATTTGTGTTCAGAAACCTTTGTTAGTCGACTGCGAACTTAAGTACTGTCGGAGATATAACAAAACTATTTTCTCATTTACCTCTACAATTTATGGAGGTGATATGTGCAAGTGTGAAATATCTGTTAAACTAAGTTCAGCCTAACTACAGTCTCAGTGGTAGGGAGATAGGAAACGTAGAAAAAGGACTTAACTGAGGTGAGCTTAGTGCAGAAATGAGCAATGCGGGTTTTTTCTAAGTCCAAAACGATTTATTTGGAACAGATCATGGATTTATGCAAAATAGTGTGAGACGATATTGTATTACAAATAACACTTTTTAAATGCCCAATTTGAAATTAGACGTAGTTTCATTATAAACGATAGCTGACGTAAAAAACCAATAACTTTCATGCTGAAACTATTAAGGATGTATGCTACCATGGAGTCTCACTGTCACTATAAAAAGAAACAGATAGGAGGGTTCGTCTCAAAAGCAAAACTTGCACGGGTGTCGCAGACGATCGTTGGGGTCGGGCGGGGGGATAGAGATATCAGCTAAGATAAGATAATCCTTTAGGACAATTATACTGGGGAAGTACACGGCATGTCATAACAATTTACGAATAATATCCAGTCCTGTCGATCTTCGCGATCGGGTGGTCATGCCACCTATATATTTTGAGACATTTAATACGATGCGTTTCTATGGTTATCAGGTATCATACTCTTTTACATATCTCAACATAAACTTCATGAAAGAAAGACACGTAAGATGTTAATCAATAGATGAGGCATAGTCAACACACATGAAAAAGCACAAAATATCTTTGAGATGACCCCTCGTGCCTGTTGGCAGCACATGCATTTCATGCCAGGTGAGCGACGGTCCGTCGTCATACCTGGCTGAGCGATCTAATTGCCATCTATAGTCTGATCTATTGTTTTCAGCAGCTATTCGTATTTTTTTCTAAGTTTTGCCCTATTTTACGATTAAACATGCTTTTCTGTATATCCTATTACGCATCCCACTGAATGCCAAGTTAGGCCAAAGTGGGTTATTTCGACATATGCTATTTGCAGCTGTGTATTTTAGGGATACAGAGTAACAGCCTAAAACCAGTTTTTTTTCTATTTCCGACAGTACTTTAGATGTGTTATGCACATTTGCTTGATGCATGGTTAATGCGCGTTGTTGTATCCCAGTGGAACCACGCTCATGACATCACTGGTCCAGGCTCAATTACTTAGAGCAATTCCATTCTTTATCATGTACATATCTACTCGCGTGTGCGTACGTGCTTGCATTCGAGTGAACCCACAGTTTCGTTCATGAGTATGGCGTTTCGTTCATGGCGTCTTTGGTGACGAGCCAACGCTTTAACCACTGGGAAATGAGGGAAATTTAAAGGAAAATATCTGAATTTTATCGTGGCTAAAGGTATCCCGTTCACCTACACCTTGTAGTGAGTGAGGAGTTTAGTTTTACGCCGCACTCAGCAATATTCCACCTATGTGGAGTAAAATTGTCTGTAAATAATCCAGTGATCAACAGCATGAGCATCGATCTGCGCAATTGGGAACCGATGACATGTGTCAACCAAGTCAGCGAAACTGACAACCCGATCCCGTTAGTCGCCTTTTACGACAAGATAGTCGCCTTTTTATGGCAAGCACATGGGTTGCTGAAGACCTATTCTACCCCGGATCTTCACGGGTCCCTACACCTTGTAATGTGTGTTAATGACGTCACTACTCTGACAGGCCAGTTGAAGTTATTACCGGTGTATCACCGGATTTGTTTTGCCCATCTACTGGAACCCCAGCTGTATTATATTATAGAGAGTCAAATACGGAATTCTATAGACTTACCGTCACACAGGCGCTCACCAACAGAACTGGAACCAGCGACATGACTGTAAAAAATAGAACAGAGCCATAAATACAGTTCCACATCAAGTCACCCACGACGATCAGGTTGTCAGGCTTGTCATCTTGTATAACATGTCATCGTATCCCAACACACAGTGCTTATGGGTCAATCACTGGAATGTCTGGCCAAGAGTAGATAATTTACAGGTCGAAGTCAGATAGCTGGAATAGAGCACCGTTAAATCCTACCAAGAAAGCTTGTTATAGCCGAGAACGTTTTACCATTGCCAGAAAGTGAAGCTACTTACATTTTGGATGGGGCCGTTTTATAACCTGGCAATTCGGAATTATCTGTAGGTCGTGGGGCTGTTACACACTTAGTTTATTATCCCCGATGAAGTAAAACTCATTTCGAAACTATGAATGTTGAGCAGGATTCGAAAAGGAGTTAGAACTCCTGAACCAACGTTAGGATGGTCTGGACTTCCTCGTTCGAGCGTCAACATATTCCCAAGAATATATGTCGTAATTTGCCACTATCGCAGCTGACGATTACTGTAAGAGAACAAGAGTTGACATGTATTTGATAATTAAATATCTTTGGCGTCTCACCTGCGAGCTAGAATCCCCAACCGTCGGGGCTGAAGCTGGTCACTTGTGTCAGAAACATTCACGTTTCCAGCTAAGTCATACAGACTGGTCTTCTTTCGTGTGCCACACTTCCACAGTCACTCCATCCAAACGCTGGGTGCTGGCCGCGGGACGGCAACCCTATGTCACCAGTCACGATATAGAAAGCAGACCGCATATGCTCGCGATATTTGCACGTGCAAAATGTAAATTTTGCTTTTCACGTGCACCAGTAGTCGTTTTAGGTCGCATTGTCGTCAAATAAATGTTGGTGTTCATATTTAGACTTGCTCAGTGAATCCATATTCATATTTTTTTATATTAATAAGTATCACAATTTGTTGTATGCGACCAGTCACATTCCCAGAACCAGAAATGACCCGTTACACACTTTGCTTCTTTCTAAACACGAATAGTGACTACAGTCTGTTTGCAGTGAAAACGTACCGATGAATTTCACTTTAAACAAAAAAGTAAATCTAATAAAGTGAAATTAAGATTGCGAATCCTCATAATTTACCCCCTTGTAATACAAAAAAATAATAGCCATGTGAAACTATGATCGTTTGTTAAACAACTTTTATCGAATAAAATTCTGAGATATAAAAATGTTCAATTGGCAAGTTAAAATCATGAGGATTCGCAGTCTTAATTTCACTTTATTTGTTTTACTTTTTTGTTTAAAGTTACATTGATCGGTACGTTTTCACTGCAAACAGACTATAAGCGAGTTTAGTTTCACGCATTATTCCAGCAATATGACGGCGGAGGACACAGAAATGGGCTTCACACATTCTACCAACGTCGGTATCGAACACTTTTTACCATTAGGCTACCCCACCGCCATCTCAAATAGAGTCGCTACCATCCAATACACACGAGCTTTAAGGTGCCATCCAGTTTACAAAAGGTATACATGTACCGTCCAATATATTAAAGCCTTAACTGAAACCAGTTTTCGTTCTAATTCAGAGTCAGAAAGGTGAGGACAAATCATTTCAGTTACACTTGTAAAAGGCAGATATAAACTGTTGTACTCATATTGTCAGATGGTTTTTCATTCTTAAATAGATCCTCTAAATATCTGAAAGTGTGAAGCTCATTTCTGGTGTCCCCCGCCGTGATATTGCTAGAATATTGCTCAAAGCGGCGTAAAACTAAACTCACTCACTCGCTCTAAATATTTGACGGAATATCAATAAGAAGACGACTTTAAACTTGATGTCAAATAGCAGATATATAATAATATACTGTTGCAAGAAGTCGTAGTTTGAAATATGTCATATGTTTTCACTTCAAAACTTGTTTTGTGTCAAATATATTGAAAAATAATGTTAATGGACTATTTTTGACGTTTCGCCCGCGAACTTGATCCCTCCAACAGTTTGTCTCTGCAAACATTTAAAAGCGCCCAAAGTAATAGTTTAGCTTTTCCGCACTTATTTCCATTTATCAGTGCACCAATCTGCCATTGCAGTTATCAATCAGACAACAGGATGTGAATGCATTAATTGATTGCATGTGTAATCAGCAAATGGTTGCCGACGGGAGTTTGTTCACTGGCAAATAAACAATCAATATAATCGAAAAATAAACCCGTCTGTTGGAAACAGAATCTGGTAACTCCTATAAAACATTACTATAGTCTGTTTGCAGTGAAAACGTACCGATGAATTTCACTTTAAACAAAAAAGTAAATCAAATAAAGTGAAATTAAGATTGCGAATCCTCATAATTTTACCTTGTCAATTAAATATTTAAATTTCAGAATTTTATTCAACTTAAGATAAAAGTTGTTTAACAGACGATCATATTTTCAAATCGCTATTATTTGTTTGTATTACAAGGGAGTAAACGCAGTAATTGAAACAGTGATACAAATGCACGTGCGGTACGTGATGAGCGTTAACTTAGACCAACCCTACTTGTTCTCAGTGTTTCATTTAATGTGCATACCCCCTTGTAATACAAACCAATAGTAGCGATTTGAAACTATGATCGTTAAATGTTCAATTGGCAAGGTAAAATCATGAGGATTCGCAATTCTAATTTCACTTTATTTGATTTACGTTTTTGTTTAAAGTGAAATTCATCGGTACGTTTTCACTGCAAACATACTATAACAACTTTGATTACATTAACTAATGCTTTTCTTATGTGTCATCGTCATTGTGTGACAATGTTCCAAGTGCGCATGTTCATGTTCAGTTAGAGTGCAGGGTGTGCTATATTTAGACTTGTGCTATATTTAGACAAAGTTCTGGAAGGTACTGCTAAGTACTACAACCCTGTGGATCTTTCCGCTATATACAGGGTAGGTCAGGGCACTTTGCGAGACTTTAGTACTTCCGGCAATGACGATAGCACTGTTACAAGGGGCATGTCCTGGCTAATCATATGCGACACTCGCTGTCTGTCTCAGAAAACTATAACATGCAACAGGCTACAAAACCACTACTATGCTGCATGAATAGCACGTGTATATCTGTAAACAGCTGTGCAGCCAAGCGTGGTAGTACACTTGGTCGATTCTAGTGAAGTCATATTTTGCGGAACCAAGAACCAGAACTGGTTATCGAATACATGCATGTCACCGGAAATCTAATACCGGAAATAACGCATCGCGAGACTTGTGGGCCGTATTCTGACGCAGCGAATTGCAGAATCTTCTAGAGTCTTTCTCTAAGGTATATAAGTAGAGTTAACTGGTGCCTCTTATCTCACATTACATCTTAAGTTACAAGAACACCAGCAATTGTGTAGAGACCATTCTGACCCTAGATGCTATATTTTAAACTTGACCACAGTTACAGTGAGGTGAATATAAAGATCTTTGTCAAGTCACTGCCTGATTCCAGGATGATATTTATCAAACCTATGGTACAGGAAGTTTCGTAACATCACTTAATTATAAAACCACTAACACAGGAAGATTCTGAGAAATCCATAAAGCTATGCCCTTATTGACATTGATGTAGAGGGTGAATAACATTTTATGTCTACTTTCCTTATTTTTCTAAAGTAAGAAACGAGACCTTGCTGCAGGAGACTCTGTGTTATTTAACTGCTGTTAGATTGGCTTTATTAGTGGCATGCAGAGGGTCCTCTTTCAGCACCGACTAGGCTGAACTAGCCTGGTTTATACATCAGTGTTACACAATAGGTTGCTTCCTTGACCCAGTATCTTATAAAATATGTTGTGTAACTATCTTGTATATGCGCCTGTGGCCTTCATACAAAAAAACATTGAACTGTTCTGTCACGAATTGGAAGTTTGATTTAATGCTTCAATACTAATTACATATCGAAGGAAAATTGAGTTCTGTGGATAGTCAACTTCTTTATTTCAATGAATGCAAGGAACTAATTACATATCACCGTGTATACTATAACATTCAGTGCATGTGTACCCTGACGTCACAGGTTCTTGGAACTGGCGAGAAAGGTATTTTGTGTATATGAAAATACATGTTAAATCTATGCATGCCGAAAAGATCTGGGCAACAGCTCGCTGTGCATAATCAATACCTACAGAAACACAACAAAATCATTAAAATATATTGCTCAGCTGCTGGGTCGTTTAAAGGTTACAGCCAATTATAATGTTCATCAATTATGAGTGAGTGAGTTTGGTTTTACGCCGCTCTTAGCAATATTCCAGCAATATCACGGCGGGGGACACCAGAAATGGGCTTCACACATTGTGCCCATGTGGGGAATCGAACCGGGTCTTCGGCGTGACGAGCGAACGCCTTAACCACTAGGCTACCCCACCGCCCCTCATCAATTATGTATGTGGATAGGAAGGGCATAAATCAACATGACACAGACAGGTTGACATAATTCCTATTGTTTTGAATTATCAATGAAGACACGACAGGCCGCCAGACAAAACTGACATGTGATGACATAGTACACCGACAATATGCGATACACTCGACATCAGCAGAGTGAGCCCTGGCGATGATGACGACCAGCTGACCAGATACATTGTACAACACGGTTGTATATGATACATGTGTCATGTGACACGTTTTGACGAAGGACATGGCGGTAAATACAGATAACGATGTGAGCGTGTTAACTTTGTTTGTTTATCTAAATACGATCTGCATTACAATGTGTCTGGACCGTGAACTATACACATGGACATCAATCAGGTCATGATCAGCAACGAGCTTTATACCTACGAAAACACAACATGTTGTTGTATATGCTTTGAAAACCACATTCCACGATTAAAATGGTAAGTGTAACATACTTTAACCAAAACAAAACAAAACAAAACTGAAATTGAAATTTGGTAACAATTTGCTTGAGCTCTGAGGGGAATGCCACGCCAGTACCTGGTGCAGACACCCCTTATGCGGATTGTATCTGAAATGTTACCTTCCCATACTGGTACTCAAGCGTCTGATTCTCATGGTCGGAAGTCTGTGACATGTATCAATTCCTGCAGATTGTGAACAGGAGAGGATCTCTAGCTCTAGCTTGGCTCCAAGGTACTTCTGTGAGGAAGGTATGGTCATCATGGTTATAGATCTTCCTCGGTCTTCCTTGTCTTTGACGATTCTTCACTTCACCGTGGCCACGTGCTTCCTCACAAGTCTACTAGTAACCGTTTGGTAATTGGTCAGTCAAGTTAACAACGATGCTGCGACAGGACATCCGTGCGTCATGCCACCAATAACTTGCTGTCGTGTGAATTATGAAAATCATGCCTTGCCAAGAAAAGTTATTTTGTAGTTTAGAAAACTGTATAGCACATACTGCAATCATGAACATTACACCCCGACGTGCTTGTGTGCGTGTGTGTGTGTTATATTTTGGTATTTGTATGTGTATATGACCGAATCGGGGCGTTATAACGTAATTACACTGACTCATAAGGCTGTCTGTATAAAAGCAGACTTGTCCTCGTTTACAAATCGCTCTCCAAAGTCAACTTGGTCTGCTTCAATACAATGTAAATTGTCAAGAAAGACGCTTAACCTGGAGCGTTTCTGAAGAGGAATTAGAAGCCTTGAAACCCATCATTCTCAAACCTTCATCACGCACGGTTCAAAAACTGAACATCATAACGGCTCAACTATTGG